TCTCTTCAGGATGTTTGGCATGGTTGTAGAGAAGATCATAATTCCTGAGGTGCAGAAGGTCTCGGGGCAGGTGGAGAAGAAGATCTGTGCTGTGGGCATCACTAAGATCCTCACCGAGTGTCCTGCCTTGATGGACACGGAGTACACCAAACTCTGGTAAGACACACTACAGGCTTTTTTTTTAGGGATTTTTTTTTTCAGGCCAATTTTTACTAACATTTTTTAGAGCCTCTTATTATTCTGGTATTGTCCCTGTCTTATGGAAAACATCTACAATAATTCCAGTGGCGAAGGTTTCTAGGCCTTCAGGATGAAATGATTTTCGACCCATTAGCACTTACATCACTAGTGGAAAATGTGCATTGTGTCTGAAACACAACATTTTATAGATCCTCTACAATTTGCATATCAATCTTCCAGGGGGGTTGAGGATGCAATTTTAACTCTATTGCATCTGCTGTATTCACATTTAGAGAAACCAAAAATTCTATTTGTGGATCAGCTTTTAGCTCTATTTCCCCCAGTACATTAGCTGTTACCCTGGAAAAAGAATTTCATTCGACAGTTCGATGCATATCTGGGTGACTAATTTTCTTAGTTTTAGAATTCAGCAGGTAGGTCTTCTGATTATTGCGTGAGTTCTTTTAAAAACTGATATATCGTAAAATATGCAGATGATACTGCTTTAGTGAGCCCTTTTACACGATGGGGAGGAAGAACATGGGCCTGTTTTGGAATGATTTTTAAGTTGGTGTGAAAATTCAAATCTCCTCTAAAATATCTCCAAAACTAAGGATGGTTATTGATTTTAGAGAGAGAGAGAGGGAGCAAAATGTAACCCATCCTACATTAATTAATGGGAAGCAAATACAATTAGTAACACATTGTTTGACACAAAATGTGAATTGTTAAATGTCTGTGTGAGTGTATGCTGCAAGCATGCTTTCCCTACGGGGATAAATAAATATACTGGAATTTTTATGTGCCGACTTATGGGAAATGACAAGCTGCACATGAAATGACTTGAATGCACTTTATGTGATAAACATGTTTTTAGTTGTTTTCTGAGGCAGAGGTGTAAGTAAGTCACAAATGTAAGTAAGGGTTGACAACTCCTGATATAAAATCCTTGTTAAAAACAAAATGAAAAATGTTATTATTTCTAAGGGGGAAAAATGCTTGAACAAACCTGCTTATTAATATTTGAAAAAACCTTGTCTGCCAAATCAAGTAATGTGCTGTGCACAATATACAAAAACATGCAGGGAATAAATCTAAATATCATAGAGTGGACCCCAGCAGGCCATTATGACTTAAGATGTCAAATTACCTGTAATGTCATGTAGTGCCCCTTTCCAAAATACAATGATAATAATGAATAACTTGCCTTGAAAAATATTTTAATACCTGAAAATGTTTACAATGTGTACACTTATTACTTAAATCTTGATGGATACACCACATATTTACCTTCTCTTAAAACTGTATAAGCTTTTTAAATGAACCCTTTATTTAGAGCACATTTCTAAGAACTTTTTTCCCAAGATTTCTGTGGACACTCTTATTATTCATTGAGTCTAACAAGATAACTTGGGCTGTCAGATGAGTTAATCATGAACATGTGGTGAGAAAAGTCTGCTTTTGCTCTTTAGGACTCCTTTGTTGCAGGCTTTGATTGGTCTGTTCGAGTTACCAGAAGACGACAGCATCCCAGACGATGAGCATTTCATAGACATAGAGGACACTCCAGGGTACCAGACCGCTTTCTCACAGCTTGCTTTTGCAGGCAAGAAAGAGCATGACCCCATCGGAGACGCTGTCGACTTTATGAACCCTTTATTTAGAGCACATTTCTAAGAACTTTTTTCCCAAGATTTCTGTGGACACTCTTATTATTCATTGAGTCTAACAAGATAACTTGGGCTGTCAGATGATCTGATGAGTTAATCATGAACATGTGGTGAGAAAAGTCTGCTTTTGCTCTTTAGGACTCCTTTGTTGCAGGCTTTGATTGGTCTGTTCGAGTTACCAGAAGACGACAGCATCCCAGACGATGAGCATTTCATAGACATAGAGGACACTCCAGGATACCAGACCGCTTTCTCACAGCTTGCTTTTGCAGGCAAGAAAGAGCATGACCCCATCGGAGACGCTGTCGGCAATCCCAAAATCCTCCTAGCTCAGTCCTTACACAAACTCTCCACCGCCTGTCCTGGAAGGGTGAGTATCACTCACGAGAAGAATGCTGATATAATCACTAAAATGACTTGAGAACATGACAGAAGCATGCTTGGTCTCCAGACCTAGAGAGCTGCATACCCAGAATACCTACTGAGCTGTTGAAGTAACTAAATGTCGTCTTTAACAGGTGCCCTCCATGTTGAGCACCAGTCTGCCAGCAGAAGCTCTTCAGTTCCTGCAGGGTTACCTTCAGGCGGCCACTGTACAGCTGGTGTAGCCCAGACTCCTTATCGCCAAGAAGGGATCTCTGGCGCTCTCAAAAAACCCAAACTGATCCAACCAAAAAAAGAGACGGCCAGTGGACTCAACATGAGCGGATGTACCACCCAGTGATACATGGCCAGACAGAAGGGATTTCTAAGAAATTGTTTTAATGATTTGTGTGCGATGAATGGGACCGAGCAGGGAATAATGTTTGGAAAGCAATGGTGATGCTTGGGTAGAGGGGTGCTGATCATCTCACTGGGTGGCCTCTGCTGATGTTGGCTTTACTTATGAATGATTTGGAGTCCATTCAGTATGTTCTCTTATTGTTTAGTCTGGCGTCTCGCCCAACTATACATTCGGCAGTATTTTGAAATGTCACCTTTTACAAACATTGAACAGCACTTGGGAGTTGGCATTTGGCGGCATCTGTAAAATCAATGGGGAAAGCGTTTTCCGTTTGTTCTCCTTCCTGTAGTTTTGGAGATGTTTTTACTGTATAAACGAGTTGTTTTGCAAAGCAGAAAAATTTGTCAAATGTCTCATGTTGCATGTCATTCACCATGTTTTGTCTTTTTGCTGTTTTGCTGCTCTAGTCGTTAATAAATAAAATGAAGCACTTGTTTAACATGTTGGTTCACGTTTGTATTTGTTCCTCATCTTGAGGTTTATGTGCCTGGGGATCTTACACATGACGGTGAGCTGAGGACCACAATCCCTGTATTGTGCTCGCCTGTTTCGCTAAAGCTGAAAGTGTATTTCACAGATCAATGCATTCAGGAAGGATTGTTCAAAAACCATGTCAGGAGTCATGCGTTGGGTCAGAAAGCTCTTGGATTTGATCAAAAATCTTAATTTGTGTTCTGAAGATGAACAAAGGTCATGTTCAGTGCAGTTGTTTTGACAGAGGGAAACAAGATACATATCTAGTTTCAACATTATTTGTTCTTCAGACATTACTCTTTAAAAGAAAAAACATATCCTCTGTATGCAAAGTGACCCACATTTGGTTTTTGACCACTGAATATGTGTACAATTGAACAACCATATTGAGTTTTCAGTATCGTTGGAACGGAACCATACAAAATCTAAAAGGGCATTAAGATATCTTTAATACTACAATATCTTTAATGCAAATTTTGGAGAGGGAAAAAAAACCTTGAAAAGTGCTTTTTCCCATGTTTGAGAGGTCGCCACTGGTGACAGTTGGAGCTTCTCCCTAAAAGCATTTTTGCGCTTCTTCATGAGATCCTCATTCTGAGAGATGACTCAACTGACCCACAGTTGCAATCTGTTGCATAGTCCAGAAATTTGGCAGATTTGCGCAAAATATGAGCCTTCTTAGGAGTCAATTTCCATCTTTGATTAGTTTTATAAAGTATTTCTGAGTAAAACATGAAGTTAGGGCTGTAAGTAATTAAATTAATATAAATGTGCAATTAGTCGACTGATGGCTTAAATGAATGAGTAGTCGACTAGAAGAATCTTTAGTCAGAGGCAGCCCTAGAATTGACACCGATATATACCATAAATGCATTATCTATTATTTTTTTTCTCAATAGTTCAATCCAAATGTTTATATGTGTGCACAAATTTCAAAGATAACGGATTTACAAAGATCGTGGACTTTTAGTTGTTGTATATGTTGGTTTTTGTACCAGCTGCGTGGTAAAACTTTGCTGCTGTATATGCTGCAAGCTGTCAATAAGCAGAAAAACAACATTTGAACTATAGTTAAAAAAATTATTGTGATTTTAACAGTAAAAGTCTGTGAAAATGCTACAGTAAAAACCTGTTAATTGGTTAACAGTAAGTTTCCATAATATATTCGGTGAATAAATGTAATTACATTTAACGTAATTTTACAGTAAAATACTGTTAAAAATACGGTTTTTGGAAGTGAAAAAGTCATTGTATAATTTACAGTGAAAAACCGTAAATTGACACTCCCAGAATTCCCTGCATGACACTTCATAGTTTTTTTTTGTTGTTGTTGAAATAACGTTTCTTCTTAGTTTTTTCTTATCAGTTGTGTACATTAGCAAAGTCAAGTCTGTAAAACCTAAAATGTTGCTACCATATCTTTTACGGTGAAGTTCTGGCAACCACAGCTGCCGGTATTTTACCGTAAATGTCACAGATTTGTTTTTACTGTGTAGTTGAAAAAGATACAGAGACCATGGAGATATATCTGTGACAAATTAATTTTTAAAAGTATTTTGTGGAGTCTGTCATTAAATATTAGCTCATAAAAATGGTATTTGTATAACTTAAAAATTGCTGAAGCATAGTTTCTTGGATTCATATGTGGTTGTCATTAACACTCACGCATCGCTAACTCTGTAGGCCTATATGTGAAAACAGTATTGCACCTGTAGAACCCTTATCGGGACAGTTGAGTCATTTGCCTACATGCATGGACATGAATAGTTGAGCTCATACTGGGCTGGCAGTAAAGTGGTTTCATATGAGAGACGTGTGCATGTTTGAAGAGTTTTGCAAGTAGTATGTGTTCTTAATGCTGTGAATCTTTCAGTGGATGTTTTTCAAAGACAATGAAAAGAGCTTCATTAAGACCTCAACAACTCAAAGAGAAGCTCCTTCAGGCCATCGATGCTCAAAGTAACGTGAGTAAAAGCCGAGTTATAGACCCAAGTAATGACTTCAGTCTTTACGGTTTTGTCTAGTATAACCATGCTGCATGTGCATCATTAGTAGTAACTGTCACTTCATTTAATAATTCAATTTAACTACATATTGCAATTTCTATCCACTCTTTCAGCACTTTGTGTCCTTTATGTGGAGAATATTAGGGAAGCTTTTTTACAGTATTCTTGACCACACTGGTTTGCTCAGTCTCACTGTGGTGAGGTTTATTTTTATTATGTAACTCCATGGGGCCTTTTTCACAGATTTTTAGAGGAATGACTATGCAAGCATATCACATTTGCATTTGCAAACAACTGTTGACTGGGATCTGAAAGAGTCACTGCTGGTCTGGTGACTGCTGCAGGTGCACATGTGAGAGCAGATACATGAGGCCCAGCTACTTTCATGAGTATGGCCAGCCTTAGAAAAAGAGACAAGAACTGACTCGCTAAGCATTACCTGTTAAAGGATTTTTTTAATGCACAGAGAATATTATGAAAGCATGGAAGTGACTTTAGCTTAACGTCTACCTGTCAACAGATACAGAACATGATGGCTGTATTGGATGTGATATGCTGCCTGGAAAGTTACCCCATGACTAAAGAGGCTTTGACTGGGATCTGAAAGAGTCACTGCTGGTCTGGTGACTGCTGCAGGTGCACATGTGAGAGCAGATACATGAGGCCCAGCTACTTTCATGAGTATGGCCAGCCTTAGAAAAAGAGACAAGAACTGACTCGCTAAGCATTACCTGTTAAAGGATTTTTTTTTAATGCACAGAGAATATTATGAAAGCATGGAAGTGACTTTAGCTTAACGTCTACCTGTCAACAGATACAGAACATGATGGCTGTATTGGATGTGATATGCTGCCTGGAAAGTTACCCCATGACTAAAGAGGCTCTAGTGGTAAGATACTAACTCACTCGGTTTATATTGAATTTATCCCAACAACTGTGATACTGAAAATGTGAATTAAAAGGATGGTTCACTCAAAAAAGCATAATTTACTCACCCTCAAGTTGTTCCAAACCTGTATGAGATTTTTCTTCTGCTGAACACAAAAGAAGATACTTGGAAGAATGTTGGTAACAGTTGCTGATCCCCATTGACTGCCATAATATGAAAAAAAATTACATGCATACACACACACTGTGGGCAGTTGCTGTTTAATGCATTAATTTATAAAACAAACAAAAGAATGCTCCCTTGAGGAATGATTTGGTTTGTTGTATTCCAGGAAACCAGGCTTGGAAAGTTGATCAATGAAGTGAGAAAAAGGAGCACAGATGAAGATCTTGTTAAACGTTTAAAAAATCTGATACGACATTGGCAGAGGCTGGTTGGCGTAAATGAAGTCACAGTAGAAGAGCTCTCAAGCTTTGCAGTCAATTCGACTTCTGCTGAATGTATTCCTGGATCAACACAAACCCTTACTGAAAATTACCACAGTAACATGAGTGAGAGGGCTGAAATGTCTCGGGGTTCTGTGCCAGATAAAACCATTAAACATCTAAATAATTTTAGAAAGAGTAAAATACCTGTCCGTGCGATCAAGCCATATTCTTCGTCCATCAAGCATTTACAACAGTCCACAAGCTGGAGAACATCTCTGTCCAATCATCATTCCCAAAAAGACCAGCACAAGTCTGAAAGAAACACCACCTCTGCCAGTCACAGTGACAAAAAGCACGTTTTGGCAACCAAGGAACCAGCACAATCCACTTCTAATCTACCAATTTCATCTATCCAAGATTCATATGTAAAGAAGATGCAACAGCCTTCAGACCTCCTCAACATACTCAAACCTGCTACACTACATGGTAACCTCGATGAGGTCTCCAGCACAGTGACAGACACAAAGATAAAGGGTTTTGAGGATAAGACGAGGAAGAAAGAGCATAACAGTCACACTGTCAAACACAATGGAGAGGACAGTACCAAAACGGCACGACTGCAAGCAGGCAAACTACCAATCAAACCTATATCAAGCAAAACATTTACAAAAGATTGCCAGAGATCAACAGGAAGTGAAATCCAGGGCAGTGATCATCTGAATAACAGCCTTTGTTCGTTCCAACAGACAAACTGGAGAGAGGTGTCAGAAAGTAAGATGATTCAGAATAGCTTACCGACTTCAGAAAAGTCAGGGATGAGCTTCTCTGTGGGTGAGAACATCAAGCAAGAGATAAAGAATTCCAGAGAGTGCAGAAAAACTCATGGGTTTATACCAGAGTTCCCTGTGAAAGCCCTTCCAGGGGTCAGCCGAGAGGTCACGGAGCGAGACCTCGTCAGGATACGCAGTCAGCGATGGCATGGTGTGAATGGCTGTTACGATAACCGGAATAACTGGTATGACTGGACTCAGTCCATCACCCTGGATCCATATGGGGATGGGAGTACATTTAAGATTTTGCCTTATGTTGGCATAGATTACAGACTATGAGTTTTCTGAGGCATGTTTCTTAAATTACCAAATGTGGATTCACAACTACGTCCTGTGTGTTTGTTTTGTTGAGCTTCTCTATTCTTCATGGTCCATTGCACTGGTGTGGCAAAAATTAATTAGTACAGTAGTTTGTAAGCAATAAGACAATAAATTCTCTGTCAGCAAGACTTCACATATGAACATACAAAACCAACATGTACACTACCAGTCAAAAGTTTGGAATATTTAATTTTATTATTATTATTTTTAAGTTTATGCTCACCAAAGCTGCATTGATTCGATCAGAAATACAGTAAAAACAGAAATATTGTGAATTAGAATTTCAAATAACTATTTACTATTGTAATGTTTTAAAATGTAAATAATTCCTGTGATGCAAAGCTGAATTTTCAGCATCATTACATCAATCTTCAGTCACATTAGCTTTTAGAAATCATTATAATATCCTGATTTGCTGTTCAGTTATTATCAATTATTACTTTATAATAGTAATATGTTCACGTTTGCAGACTCCAGTTAAAAGTCTGGCTGCAGCGTTTTGAACCATATGAAGCCTTCTAATAGAGGACTGGGATATTCCAGTATATAAAGAATTACAATAATCCAAGTGGGACAGAACAAAAGAATGTGTAACTCTTTCAAGATCTTTGGGGGATAGAAAAGACTTTACTCTAGATAAAAGTTTCAGGTGAAAAAAGCTTGACTTAACTACTGTGTTTATATGCTGATAAAACTTTAAAGAGGAATCCAAAAAGACTCCCAGATCTTTCAGAGTCGGTTTGATGTAAAAGTGCAGATTGGCAACATTAAAAGTAGTTTCTTTACCCACAGAGGATCCAAACACAATTGCTTCCGTTTTACTCGCATTTAGGTGTAAAAAATGCAAGGACATCCAGGATCGTATATCATTTAGACAAGCAAGCAATGTTTCTAAACCTTTCATGTGCTTCAAAGGTAGATAGATTTGAGTGCCATCTGCATACAAGTGAAAAGACACTCCAAGCCTCTTAAGAATCAAACCTAGAGGTAACAAGTATAGTGAAAACAGAGTTGGGGCCAAGATGGAACCTTGGGGAACGCCACAGGTAATAGGAGCCTCAGTTGAGACAGAGCCTCCAATGCCAACTGAAAAGGTTCTGTCAGGGCACCCACATACTGTTCAAGATGTGACAAAAGAATGCCATGATCAACAGTATCAAACGCTGCGCTGAGTCCCTAGTCATGAGTCATTGATTTTCTTTTTTGTCAGCGTAATCTCTGATTGGCCGTTTTTTTTTGCAGTGTGGGCAGTTCTTGTAAGTGGGTGAGACCAAGCCATTGCTAGTATGCGGAAATGAGCTTCGGCTGTGATAAAAGGGGGGGGGGGGGTGCTGCCATGGTAACCAGGTGGGCCATGTGCGCAAAACATTTTGCAGCAAATGGAGGGGGTTAAAAAGGGGTTGAATTTCAAACCAGTTAAAGGGGTCATATGATGCGATTTCAAGTCTTCTTTTCTCTTTGGAGTGTTACAAGCTGTTCGTGAATAGATAAGATCCCTAAAGTTGCAAAGACTAAAGTCTCAAAACCAAAGATATATTCTTTATAAAAGTTAAGACTCGTCCACGCCCTCCTAAAGTGCCTCATTTAAACACGCCCCCACATGTCTACGTCACTGTGTGGGCAGATTTGCATATCACCGCCCAAATGTATGCGCAAAGAAAGAAGGCGTAACTTTGAATCTCGCTGTAGTATTGTTGCTGCCGCTGCTGCCATGTCGTGGAGACTAAACACATTTCATTACACCAAATACACAAAATAATGTTCTTTTTTAGCAACGTCATATGACCCCTTTAAACTCAAATGTAATTAAGCAGAAACAGTTGAACACATTCTTATACTCTGCATAGCATATAAACACATAAAAGACATGTACTAGAGAATGAGCTGCAGAAAATGGAACATAATACATAACCATTAGAAAATCTCCTGGCTAAAAAATCTGGGAGAATTCCTATGCGATGTGCAATTTTGAGGTTTTTAAAGCAAACAGGAATCGAGTTAAGAATATACTTTATTTTATGTTATTTCAAACAGACACAAATCCTTCAAGCATTAAGATTCCTTTTCATCCCCCATCAATTCATTACTATAAACAATATTTAGTAGAGACTGAACATAGAAAAAACATGCATAATACAATAATAACCAGAAGACCAGATTGCGTCTTGGATGGAAGGCATGCTGGGATCTTCCTCTGGGATCACAGACAGTAATCTGATGACATACCTCGGCACGGTGGAGCAGAAGGCCAGTGAACTCCAGCACACATGTGAGAGAAGGTACAGGTTCGTTCGCTTCACCTGTTAAAAAACAATCAGTTGTAGCATAACACACTGCAATCTTTTGCTAGCACAAAACAGAAAACACATAACTCACCCTGAATAAATTTTGTAACCAGCTTCCCCAAATGATCTTCTCCAGTCAGTTCCTGAATCTGCTGGAAAGCCTTCCTCAGAGAGTCAGGTGTCTCCTCTACGCCGTCTGCCTTCCTCTGCTCCTTCATCTCTGCCATCAGCACACTTGGTTAACTTTTCAGCCAAACTACAGTTGCATTTGTGATTCATTACAATAACTGCTCTCTGACCCTGTCTGCGTCTGGTTTTTTTCCCACTATCCATGTTGGCTCTCCGATTATTCTTGGTGGTCATGAACTCTTTGAGTTGGTGTTCATGAGCGATGACTCTCTCCAGCTCCTGCATCTCAGCTGAGTACTGTGCAAGATCCTTCACCACCTTCTCCTTTATCATGGTTGTTTTGGTCTGAGCATCCACTCTGAAATACACACAGATAACTTGAACCATCTTCAAACGTCCAAAAGACTTCATGAGGGTAGAGCAATGTATAATACCATACAAGATACAACAAAACTCTCTAATAAAAGTTTGTGTGCACTTTTTCTCTTTTAAAAGTGGTTGGGAAACCTTTTGCATTTAAGTTTGATGATGCTAAATGCACAGAAATTACAAGCATTCAGTTTAATTTAAAATGACACATTCAATGTAATATATACTGCATGAGAGAATAATATTAACCAATAATATTGAATTGAGGACTTTACATTTACATAAAATTGCCAAGGATGCAGGCCATTCAATTCCTTAAAACTAAATCTATTAATAAAATCCTATAAAGTCATGAAAAGTTCTATAATGAATCTAATGTTTTATTATTATAGCTCATTGCTAATATATTTCATTAGCTTTTTTTAAATATAGTTGAATTGACATTCATTAATACAAAGGTGTGTAAGCACTGCATAAAATCATGTGCTGAACAACATGAAATGGGATTTACAACACTGCAAATTGAACGCAGTGTTATTTTAATATTTATATAAAGTTTTAGATTTATTAATACGTTTAATTAATGAAATAATACATTTAATATTTCAGTTCTCATTTTTCTGTCTTATTTTATTTATATTGACATTATTTATATTTCAGCTTTATTATAATTAACAACGTGTTTTTAAGTTTCATGGCCTGGAAATCGCTTGTCAAAATTCCTTGATATTTCCAGGTTTTTATGATTGTGGGAACACTGTATATTAGCAAAGCTTAAAATCTCAGAGTATCTCACTTCGCATCATAAGCTGTGGCTGACTTGTCGACAACTTCAGCAATATCCTTACGCATATCTTGCAATACCTGAAAGAAAGACAAGAGCACCTGTTTTAAAGGAATAGTTCACCCCGAAATTGCTGAAAACTGACTCACAGGCCATTCAAGATGTAGAAGAGGTTCTTTCTTCATCAGAACAGATCTGGAGAAATGTAGCATTACATCACTTGTTCACCAGTGGATCCTCTGGGTGCCGTCAGAATGAGAGTCCAAACAGTTGATAAAAACCAAAGGGGATGGACTTTTTCACTTTGGCCAGAAGTGATGGTATAAAGCCAAAAGGTCTTAATGATGGATTTGTTACCTACAAACACGCAGCTTTTCACTTCACAAGATGTTAACTGATGGACTGGAGTCATGTGGATTACTTACTAGTGATGTTTTTATCAGCTGTTTGAACTCTCGTTCTGACGGCACCCATTTACTACAGTGGATCCATTCGTGAGCAAGGAATGTGATGCCAAATTTCTACAAATCTGTTCCGATGAAGAAACAAACTCATCTATATCTTGGATGACCTGAGGGTGAGTACATTTTCAGCAATTTTTCATATTGGGTGAATTATTCCTTTAACTGTGTTCGATCAAACTCGTTGTACACAACACTCCAGAGCTGCCCAGAATCCACAACCTTCTCCAGTTTGCGATACAGCTGCTGGAATCGGGTACGCTGCATGTGTAGCATCTCAATATCTTTTCTGAGTTGGCTGTTTATCTTCATCTGTTCGTTAAAGCGAGCACGAGACTGCAGGGATGAAAAGGGGGGAAAAAATAATGGAGAAGTTCATCCACACACTGGGTATGTTTACATGCACTGCTTTTCGCCAATCCAAATGAATCCAATCCACTTTCAGATTCTGAAAGTTCTGTTTATATAAACCCTAAACTTTGCAATCACATATTTGTTTACATGTGCATTACATGCATTCCGAACAAAACTTTAGCATGTGAGTAGTGCCTAGTCGCTGCATTCAGAACTGCAAAATCCATTGCTTCTGCCTTGATGGCATATCTAGAAAGAGAGCTAACAAACAATGCTTTTTTAGACAACAAATGGAAATATTCCGTTTCCTCCACTGACCAGTTAATAACATGTAAGACGTAAATAAACATATGCATGTTTGTAAGCTGTAAAATGTATGTAAATATACAGTACACATCAGGGCACTGCATATGTTTTGGCAAAACATGGCCAAATGTTTAGCCATAGAATCTTGTCCCGTTTGCAGTTTACTCTGGCCAAAAATCACTTAAATCCGAAGGGTCTGATTTACATGTAAAGTGCCTACAACTGTGTAGTCTGTAACAATGCATGCTGTGAAATGTTTGATTCTCTGTTAACCTGATCCAGTTTGCTCTGTGTGGTACGCGTGGCCTTCTGAATGTCGCGGGGCTGAGAATTGTGACCGTGGGAAGCCTGTCCTCTTCTCGTTTCCGCCAGATTTTTCTCCATAATCGTGATCTGTAAACCGAATGCATGCAAATAACTATCTGTTGCACAGTATGAGAATGTGTTTTGTGATGTTGTTTAATACTTAGGCACATATGCACCTCTTTTTGCAGCTCTGCTTGGGTCTGTTTTTCTTTCTCAGTTTCTTCGTCCAGCTTGTCACGTTGCTTTAGAAAAGCACTGACAGCCTTAACAGCCGGACTTTCGCTCTCTCTGCGCGCTCACAGCAACCTCTCTTGTTCTGCACGCAGCTCAGCAATCTGTTGCCTGTGGACAAACACGCACACACAAGGAAAAAAAAAAAGTTAAATATACTCAAACACACACAAAGCAGTAAATATACATAATGCAACACTGTTGGGCAAAGTGACATCTACTGACAAATCATAGCTAGTCTACTCCTAAAAGAAAACCAATGCATTTTTAGAATAAAAATTATATTATTTACTTCATATATGATCAGTTTTGTCAGTGTCAGTAAACTTTTTTTTCTGCGTGTGTGTGTTAATATGTTATTTTTATGTTAAAATATTACTGTGCATAAATCTTAAATGCTTTGAAGCTCAGACTATGGTCTCTTTTTAAAGAAGACATTTTAAAGAAGACAAAAAAAGTTTTAGTTTAATATTATGAAAAATGCACGAATATACTATTTGTAAATTTGATAAGAAATACATATTTTCCAAAACACGTTTTATTCTACAACTGCAATAAAATCAAAGGCATAAATCTAAACAAATTGTGCTCCAAATTTGAGCTTTCAAGTAAGATTTCGTTTGGGCGCAGTACCAACTATACCTTTACCAAGTTTTTTTTACCTTTAAAGTAAAAAATTCTAAACATATATATAACTAAGTTACTAACTAACTAACTAACTTACTAAGTAAGATCCTTCACCACCTTCTCCTTTATCATGGTTGTTTTGGTCTGAGCATCCACTCTGAAATACACACAGATAACTTGAACCATCTTCAAACGTCCAAAAGACTTCATGAGGGTAGAGCAATGTATAATACCATACAAGATACAACAAAACTCTCTAATAAAAGTTTGTGTGCACTTTTTCTCTTTTAAAAGTGGTTGGGAAACCTTTTGCATTTAAGTTTGATGATGCTAAATGCACAGAAATTACAAGCATTCAGTTTAATTTAAAATGACACATTCAATGTAATATATACTGCATGAGAGAATAATATTAACCAATAATATTGAATTGAGGACTTTACATTTACATAAAATTGCCAAGGATGCAGGCCATTCAATTCCTTAAAACTAAATCTATTAATAAAATCCTATAAAGTCATGAAAAGTTCTATAATGAATCTAATGTTTTATTATTATAGCTCATTGCTAATATATTTCATTAGCTTTTTTTAAATATAGTTGAATTGACATTCATTAATACAAAGGTGTGTAAGCACTGCATAAAATCATGTGCTGAACAACATGAAATGGGATTTACAACACTGCAAATTGAACGCAGTGTTATTTTAATATTTATATAAAGTTTTAGATTTATTAATACGTTTAATTAATGAAATAATACATTTAATATTTCAGTTCTCATTTTTCTGTCTTATTTTATTTATATTGACATTATTTATATTTCAGCTTTATTATAATTAACAACGTGTTTTTAAGTTTCATGGCCTGGAAATCGCTTGTCAAAATTCCTTGATATTTCCAGGTTTTTATGATTGTGGGAACACTGTATATTAGCAAAGCTTCAAATCTCAGAGTATCTCACTTCGCATCATAAGCTGTGGCTGACTTGTCGACAACTTCAGCAATATCCTTACGCATATCTTGCAATACCTGAAAGAAAGACAAGAGCACCTGTTTTAAAGGAATAGTTCACCCCGAAATTGCTGAAAACTGACTCACAGGCCATTCAAGATGTAGAAGAGGTTCTTTCTTCATCAGAACAGATCTGGAGAAATGTAGCATTACATCACTTGTTCACCAGTGGATCCTCTGGGTGCCGTCAGAATGAGAGTCCAAACAGTTGATAAAAACCAAAGGGGATGGACTTTTTCACTTTGGCCAGAAGTGATGGTATAAAGCCAAAAGGTCTTAATGATGGATTTGTTACCTACAAACACGCAGCTTTTCACTTCACAAGATGTTAACTGATGGACTGGAGTCATGTGGATTACTTACTAGTGATGTTTTTATCAGCTGTTTGAACTCTCGTTCTGACGGCACCCATTTACTACAGTGGATCCATTCGTGAGCAAGGAATGTGATGCCAAATTTCTACAAATCTGTTCCGATGAAGAAACAAACTCATCTATATCTTGGATGACCTGAGGGTGAGTACATTTTCAGCAATTTTTCATATTGGGTGAATTATTCCTTTAACTGTGTTCGATCAAACTCGTTGTACACAACACTCCAGAGCTGCCCAGAATCCACAACCTTCTCCAGTTTGCGATACAGCTGCTGGAATCGGGTACGCTGCATGTGTAGCATCTCAATATCTTTTCTGAGTTGGCTGTTTATCTTCATCTGTTCGTTAAAGCGAGCACGAGACTGCAGGGATGAAAAGGGGGGAAAAAATAATGGAGAAGTTCATCCACACACTGGGTATGTTTACATGCACTGCTTTTCGCCAATCCAAATGAATCCAATCCACTTTCAGATTCTGAAAGTTCTGTTTATATAAACCCTAAACTTTGCAATCACATATTTGTTTACATGTGCATTACATGCATTCCGAACAAAACTTTAGCATGTGAGTAGTGCCTAGTCGCTGCATTCAGAACTGCAAAATCCATTGCTTCTGCCTTGATGGCATATCTAGAAAGAGAGCTAACAAACAATGCTTTTTTAGACAACAAATGGAAATATTCCGTTTCCTCCACTGACCAGTTAATAACATGTAAGACGTAAATAAACATATGCATGTTTGTAAGCTGTAAAATGTATGTAAATATACAGTACACATCAGGGCACTGCATATGTTTTGGCAAAACATGGCCAAATGTTTAGCCATAGAATCTTGTCCCGTTTGCAGTTTACTCTGGCCAAAAATCACTTAAATCCGAAGGGTCTGATTTACATGTAAAGTGCCTACAACTGTGTAGTCTGTAACAATGCATGCTGTGAAATGTTTGATTCTCTGTTAACCTGATCCAGTTTGCTCTGTGTGGTACGCGTGGCCTTCTGAATGTCGCGGGGCTGAGAATTGTGACCGTGGGAAGCCTGTCCTCTTCTCGTTTCCGCCAGATTTTTCTCCATAATCGTGATCTGTAAACCGAATGCATGCAAATAACTATCTGTTGCACAGTATGAGAATGTGTTTTGTGATGTTGTTTAATACTTAGGCACATATGCACCTCTTTTTGCAGCTCTGCTTGGGTCTGTTTTTCTTTCTCAGTTTCTTCGTCCAGCTTGTCACGTTGCTTTAGAAAAGCACTGACAGCCTTAACAGCCGGACTTTCGCTCTCTCTGCGCGCTCACAGCAACCTCTCTTGTTCTGCACGCAGCTCAGCAATCTGTTGCCTGTGGACAAACACGCACACACAAGGAAAAAAAAAAAGTTAAATATACTCAAACACACACAAAGCAGTAAATATACATAATGCAACACTGTTGGGCAAAGTGACATCTACTGACAAATCATAGCTAGTCTACTCCTAAAAGAAAACCAATGCATTTTTAGAATAAAAATTATATTATTTACTTCATATATGATCAGTTTTGTCAGTGTCAGTAAACTTTTTTTTCTGCGTGTGTGTGTTAATATGTTATTTTTATGTTAAAATATTACTGTGCATAAATCTTAAATGCTTTGAAGCTCAGACTATGGTCTCTTTTTAAAGAAGACATTTTAAAGAAGACAAAAAAAGTTTTAGTTTAATATTATGAAAAATGCACGAATATACTATTTGTAAATTTGATAAGAAATACATATTTTCCAAAACACGTTTTATTCTACAACTGCAATAAAATCAAAGGCATAAATCTAAACAAATTGTGCTCCAAATTTGAGCTTTCAAGTAAGATTTCGTTTGGGCGCAGTACCAACTATACCTTTACCAAGTTTTTTTTACCTTTAAAGTAAAAAATTCTAAACATATATATAACTAAGTTACTAACTAACTAACTAAGTTACTAACTAACTAAGTAACTAACTTACTAACTAACTAACTAACTAACTAACTAAGTAACTAACTAACTAACTAACTTACTATAGTAACTAACTAACTAACTAAGTTACTAACTAACTAAGTAACTAAGTAACTAACTAACTTACTAAGTAACTAACTAACTAACTTAGTAACTAACTAACTAACTAAGTAAATAATGTCTTATCTTACCCAAGGTGGCTTTAATCATCTGCCTCCGTTTTAGCGGATTGTTGATTGTTGTTAGCAACAGTATCTAAGAAAGATACCGGTCAGCAGGGGGCGCTGCATCTTACAATCAGGAGAGCAGTGGAAGGAACAGAGTTTTATTTTTTATTTTATTTTATTAAAATTAAACATTTTATCTGAGGATTCATACAAGAAACACACACAAAAATCAGTTGACAATTTCAGCTGTATATGTGTATGGTTTACGACACTTTCTGTCCTTGTGTATATTATTATTATTATTATTATTATTTATTTTATTTTTTAAAATCTAAAAACGCAAAAAGTTTTCAGTGAGGGGTAGGTTTAGGGGTAGGGTTAGTGTAAGGGGATAGAAAATACAGTTTGTACAGTATAAAACCATTACGCCTATGGAGAGTTCCCATAAACCATAAAAACAAACCTGAGAGTGTGTGTGTGTGTGTATGTGTGTGTGTATAATATAAAAGGCAGGGCTTACAATATTGGTCTGATTTGATTTTATATGCGTTAGTAATAGTAATTATCAGTAATGAGATTCAAAATAGTTTTTAATAATTCATACAAGCAAACAAAAACAAAAAGGTTGACAATTTTAGATTTTTTTATAATAATGGTCTGCAACAATGCTTAGGTCGGTGGTATGTGTCAAAGTAACATCCACATGGATGGCCGGACCCAAGGTTTCCCAGCAGAACATTGCCCAAAGCATCACACTGCCTCTGCCGCTTGCCTTCTTCCCATAGTTCATCCTGGCCACACACGCACCCAGCCATCCACGTGATGTAAAAGAAAACATGATTCATCAGACTAGGCCACCTTCTTCCATTGCTGAGTGGTCCAGTTCTGATGCTCACGTGCCCACTGTTGGAGTTTCGGCGGTGGACAGGGGTCAGCATGGGCACCCTGACTGGTCTGCGGCTATACAGCACCATACACAACAAACTGCGATGCACTGTGCATTCTGACACCTTTCCATCAGAACCAGCATTAACTTCTTGAGCAGTCTGCGCTACAGTTGCTCGTCTGTTGGATCGGACCACACGGCCAGCATTCACATGAGCATTGGCCGCCATGACCCTGTCCCCGGTTCTCCTTGGACCACTTTTGACAGACACTGACCACTGCAGACCGGGAACACCCCACAAGAGCTGCAGTGTTGGAGATGCTCTGACCCCGTCATCTAGCAAACAGATTACTCAGAGCACTTATTTCACTATGGAAGTATGTAATGTATGACAGAAAAACAACAACTAGAATGTCACTGCTGTGCCTCAATGTCTCCTGTAGATGGCAGCATTTACTGACACGCAAACAAAAGGATTAGAACATGTATTGGACAGTATACTGGTTTTTATTTTAATAAAAATGTAAACATCCTGTAGTAAGTGACTTAATTTTTGTATTGCACTTTTCTAAATCTTTATATAGCGTCTAAATAATTATGTTTTTTTTTTTTTTTTCAATATTATATCATATACTTACCAGGGTCCCTAAAGGGACTTAGTGATGGGGAAAAAAATATTAGGTGGGAGAAAAGAAAAAATATATAGGCTTATGTAAAAGCTCTCTCAAAGCGTTTGCTATCAGTTATTAGTGTGTGATGGAAATAAAATGAAGTGGAAGTAATGAATGATTTATTAACCACACCTCTCTCCTGACGCTGTCCCCGGGGCGTGGCTTCACAGAGTCACGTGACTCCTCCAGTGCGGCTCGCGCTGAAAGATGGCGGCGGTGGAGCAGCGCCCGCCCGTGCGGGACGGGGTTCGGATCGGGGTGCTGTGCATGTGCTGGTACACCGTCAGCTCTGCTGGCAACGTGGTCAATAAAATCATCCTCAACGACTTCCCCTACCCGGTCACAGTCTCTCTCTTTCATATAGTCTCCATCATCGTGTTTCTCCCGCCGCTGCTGCGAGCCTGGGGCGTCCCGCGAACGGAGTTACCGGCCCGCTACTACCGCTGGTTCATTCTGCCGCTCGCCTTCGGGAAATACTTCTCCTCCGTCTCGGCCCATTTCAGCATATGGAAGGTCCCGGTGTCGTACGCGCACACTGGTGAGTAACGGGAGGCTTTGGGTTACTCGGTATTGCAGGCCTTGCTCTTCGAGCTCAGTTTAAACCCAGCGGCAGTTTAAACGGTTCGTTTAGTCGAATTTAAATCGCCGGAGGTTATTCATTTATCGCTGTCTGTCATTAACCACAAGTCTCTGCTGTGAGGTAAGTCTGAGTTACCGATTTAACCAATCTAAACTCTAGGAAACCAATCGTAATAGGGATTGAGGGACTTTCTCTGCGTCCGAGTTTTGACAACAACAACAACAACACTTTATTGCAGCGATCCCAGACTACGTCACTTCCGGTCTCTGCCACGTCGTCCGGCTGCAGAGCTGTAGACGCGCGTGTCTCGTTTGGGAAGCTTTGTTTACATGGCCTCCACTATTAACAACCCCTGCGGCAGTGTTAGAAACCCTGGTAGTAAGAGAAGCTTTAGCTGCCAAATGTACCATGGCAGAGTATTAGCAGAGCAGAGCTGCACATGTAGACATGAAATGTTTTCTTACAAATAAAATAAAACACAGGAAAGTTAGGACTTGGTAGTAAATTATTGTTTGAGAGGTCACACCGTGACAGTGATGTCCTTGAAATGATAGTGAGCTACTGGGGTCAACCCAGCCCCCCGCTTCCCTGCAAGAACAGCTAAAAAAGTGAACGTTTCATCCGCCATCCCCTTTAAAGAAAGGGTTCTCCGCCAACTCCAGAGGTGGTGCAGCCAAAGTAATCAACCAACTTCATCTTGCTTGAAGAAAATGTGCAACTCTTATTTCTAGAAAAAGAAACTAAACTCGATTGGTTACAATCCTCTATACTCTGAAATGATCCAGGAGTACACAACTGTAAAACCGGAAGGCGTGTGTGTGAAGTTAGTTGTCGACGGCTTGGGTAAAGAGTAAGTGGTAAGAAAATAAGTATATTATATGAAGTGATGAGAGCACTGTGGTTGTATAGAATGAGATAAATATACATAACCAATGTGAATAATATTGCAGGACGGAAACGACCAATAACCATATTTTATTTAAAATATATATATATATATATATATGATTCTTTCATCAGGTTGTGTTTGTCAGTCTTATTGCTTCTGCACCTATGGTGATAACTATGAAGTAGTGCTGGGCGGTATGACCAAAAATGTATATCACGGTATTTTTCAAAATTATACCAGTTTAATGGTGCATGATGGTATTTTTTTTTCATGCATGAGCGGGTGTTAACCATATTTTCTACTGATTGAGAGGAAATGCTGCAGTATATTGACTTAGAATGCCCTGTTTTACTGTCATGATGAGTGAATATTGTCAAAAAATACCACACTAAATAGTGACTAAACACGACCCCTAATAAACGCCCAGCACTAATATGAAGTTTTAATAATCTGTCTAATTATGAGAATAGTGAAGTCCATGCCACAGCTATAACAATAAGAGTAACAATATGATTGTAGCCACTTTACTCCAGCTGATGAACAATAAAAACAGCCTATCAGAATCCCACTGACTTTAAAGAGCTGGAGCTTTCCAAGCGGCAGACGGCATAACTGCAGTGTGTGCTTAAATAAACAGAACAATGTCGTCTGTAAGTGTAGGCGTGAACAGACCTTTACTTTGTTTCCATTTATACAGCTTTTTAGTCTAATCGGCTTTGCTACTGGGAAAAATTGTAAGTGTCATTGAGAGTTTTTTTTTTTTCTTAAATTTTTTTTTTTATTGTCGGATGACCTGCGATGCGGTCCGTTTGCAGCGACGTCTGATGCATTTGAGTTTGTTCGGACACGGATTGCTTTAAACAGCTGTGTGTTTTACATATGAAGCAGCATTAGTGCAGGAATCGGCAGGGAGAGCGTGAGTGTTGTTTTTGAGGACTCGACTGCAGCTGAGGTGTTTCAGACACCAGGTGCAATCACAAGACTTTACAGACGAACATGTGAGGACACTAATGGTGATGTTATTATTAGATGAGTGAATGCATGTCTTCTTTTCATTCCTTCATTCTAGTGAAGGCCACCATGCCCATCTGGGTGGTTCTGCTGTCACGGATTATCATGAGAGAGAAGCAAACCACAAAGGTCTGTCTTCATCCAAACAGTTAGAAATGAGTCATGTATTTACTGAATTCATAATGGCGTAAACAGTCACTGGTTGCTTAATAGTAATCTAATACTTCAGTTTGAATTGTTTGTATGCATGTTTGATGAGTTTGGCTTTTTTTTGACCAGGTTTATGTGTCTCTTATACCCATCATTGGAGGCGTTCTGTTGGCCACTGTCACTGAATTGTCCTTTGACGTCTCTGGATTGATCAGCGCTCTGGCAGCAACGCTCTGCTTCTCTTTACAGAACATATTCTCGAAAAAGGTTCATATTACTATGAGGTGATTTCTGTCAAATAGGAAAAGTCTGGAATGTCTTCCTGTATGAAATAATTTTTGTGGTTGTTTTAGGTCTTGCGTGACACAAGGATTCACCACCTCCAATTACTAAACATGCTGGGCTTCAATGCACTTTTGTTTATGCTGCCCACATGGATTTTAGTGGACTTCTCAAACTTCCTGATGGATGGAGACCTGGTAAATAGGTTTTTAATGATTTTTATCTGAATAAGAGGATGTTTGTCTTAAAATATGTCCAGACATGGCCAGTTCATATTTTGTCCCAAAATCAACACAAAAAATGTTTCAGATGAAGAATTTTGGCACTGTAATATAGTAATAACAGTTAGAAATGAGTCATGTATTTACTGAATTCATAATGGCTTAAACAGTCACTGGTTGCTTAATAGTAATCTAATACTTCAGTTTGAATTGTTTGTATGCATGTTTGATGAGTTTGGCTTTTTTTTTACCAGGTTTATGTGTCTCTTATACCCATCATTGGAGGCGTTCTGTTGGCCACTGTCACTGAATTGTCCTTTGACGTCTCTGGATTGATCAGCGCTCTGGCAGCAACGCTCTGCTTCTCTTTACAGAACATATTCTCGAAAAAGGTTCATATTACTATGAGGTGATTTCTGTCAAATAGGAAAAGTCTGGAATGTCTTCCTGTATGAAATAATTTTTGTGGTTGTTTTAGGTCTTGCGTGACACAAGGATTCACCACCTCCAATTACTAAACATGCTGGGCTTCAATGCACTTTTGTTTATGCTGCCCACATGGATTTTAGTGGACTTCTCAAACTTCCTGATGGATGGAGACCTGGTAAATAGGTTTTTAATGATTTTTATCTGAATAAGAGGATGTTTGTCTTAAAATATGTCCAGACATGGCCAGTTCATATTTTGTCCCAAAATCAACACAAAAAATGTTTCAGATGAAGAATTTTGGCACTGTAATATAGTAATAAAATTACAAAGGGTCTGTTTGGACACACAATGATTTTGTTTAATGAATTATTTTTATTAATATGAGCTTAAATTGAGTTCAGTATGACAAATGTTTTTACAGTTTTCTACAATTGACATGTCATTAATTTGCAGTAATGAGAATATATATATATATATACACGTGTGTGTGTGTGTGTATAGAAATGTACTTCATCTAGTGATCCAAAAGGTCATATACTGTCATTCAAAGGTGTAGGGTCAGTGAGATTTCAATTTTAATGATTTTTAATTATTCAGCAATGGCACAATAAATTGATCAAAAGTGACAGTAAAGACTTAAATTCTTACAAATCTTACTTTTTCAAATAAATGGCGTTCTTTTGAACTTTCTATTCATCAAAGAATCCAGAAAAGGTGTCATGGTTTCCTCAAAAATATTAAGCAGCAAAACAATCTTTAGCGTTAATAATCAGAAATGTTTCTTGAGCAGCAATATTAGAGTGATTTCTGAAGGGTCATGTGACACTGAAGACTGCAGTAATGATGCTGAAAATTCAACTTTGACATCACAGGAATAAATTACATTTTAAAATATATTGCAATAGAAAACAGCTGCTTTAAATTCTAATAATATTTCACTATTACTGGTTTTACTGTAATTTCTATCAAATAAATACAGCATTGGTGAGCATACGAGTCTTCCTTCAAAAACATAAAAAACAGTAGTTTACATTTTTTCGTATGATTTTTGAGGTTAAGACCTTATGACTGGGGAATGTTTTAAACAGGTTTCATGAGATTCAACCCAACTCTTCATGCTCGCGCTCATTTCGCCTCCACTTTCTTCTACAGACAGAGGTTTCCAACTGGACAGGAACAATTGTGCTGCTCCTCATTAGTGGTTTCTGCAACTTTGCACAAAACATGATCGCTTTCAGTGTGCTGAACCTGGTCAGCCCACTCAGTTACGCCGTAGCCAACGCAACAAAGAGGATCATGGTCATCAGTATATCCCTACTGATGCTCAGGAACCCCGTCAACACCTCCAACATTATCGGCATGATGACAGCAATACTAGGCGTCTTCCTCTATAATAAGGTAATGATACATGTCATTAATTGTTTTTTCAACCACAAAGGAGGAGGAGGTTGTACAGTGGAATGCAAAAACTGATGTCAACTTAAATATTGTTTTTATCACCAGGCGAAATACGATTCTAACCAGGAGGCCAAAAAGAAACTGCTGCCAGTTTCAGCACAGGATATGGTTTCATTCGACAAGCCCCAGTCCAATGGCTCTGGGCCCTTCGCTCACAGCTCAGACTTTCAGCACGGTCGGAGCACAGTACTCACCGACCACTTTGAGTACAGCCGACAGGCCTACACAACAAATTTCAGCTCCAAGCAGTATGTTGTGTGAGTCGAGCACTTTGGAGGTCTCAGACCCCCGTGCTTCAGAGGAGATGGGTGTATGTTTCATACAGACGAGAAAGTGGCGGAATGACTGGAAAAAGAATGTTTACTCACAAAATCCTACTGCTTTTTTCACAGGCCTGTTATTTATTTCAGCACAAACCCTATTGTGTATGTTTTCCCATTTAGTTTATGAGGAGTATTTCAGTGGTATGTGCAGATTATAGCAAGGTGCTGGGATATATTTGGTAGGTTTTTGTTTTTTTTGCACAGGATGCATTTCAATGCAGGTCAGAATGTAACGTGTCTTCGTCGTCATCATGCTACTGTGAGTGAGAGACAGATAAAAGAGTGAGACCTCTGCCATATAACATACACTGGGTCACTGCAAATACAAATGCATCAGGGTGTTAGTCAATGTTCTGGTTTCGCCTTTAATTTGTAAATATTTTATTTATTTTTATCGAGGAAGGTGTATTGGTTAACCATATCATGAACTGAAAACACCCCATTGATTTTTTTCCGAATGTCTAATATCTGTGAAGGAATGTTTTTTTCATTCCGGGGGTGTTAAATTAGACGGAGGTCACTGTACAAGATCACTTGAATCATGGTTCTCACATTCATATGCATGATTATCAATTTTTTGTATTGTTACTTTATTTTTACTGTGCATAACCTATGGGTCAGTTTCATGAATATTAAATGTCTGGGAAGGGAAAACCGGGGATTCATAAAGCTATTTATTTTATGTTATGTTATTTTTTTCAGGAAATTGACATTCTGTAGTACGTTTAAATTTGTCTCAGTTCCTCGAACTGAAGTTTAAGAAAACTTCTAATAAAACGTTTGTGGACATCGTTTCCAAACTGTTGATTCTTCAACACTGAACTCTATGAGATTTGTCTTGTTAAAAGGTGCAATATTCCTTTCAATCATGACCGCCGGAGGTGTTTCAATCCCTTTTAGCGTGTAAAACCTGTAGTTAACAGAATCTGTGGACTAATTTTTAATATTAAATGTCTGGGAAGGGAAAACCGGGGATTCATAAAGCAGTTTATTTATTTCATTTTATGTTATTTTTTTCAGGAAATTGACATTCTGTAGTACGTTTAAATTTGTCTCAGTTCCTCGAACTGAAGTTTAAGAAAACTTCTAATAAAACGTTTGTGGACATCGTTTCCAAACTGTTGATTCTTCAACACTGAACTCTATGAGATTTGTCTTGTTAAAAGGTGCAATATTCCTTTCAATCATGACCGCCGGAGGTGTTTCAATCCCTTTTAGCGTGTAAAACCTGTAGTTAACAGAATCTGTGGACTAATTTTCGGGATGAATATGGTGCAAACTAGCCAAAACAATTTATTGAAAGGTTGTGGAAAGAGTTCTGCGGCTGGAGATTTCTTGTGGGCCTTCTTTTTTAGATGTTATTGACCAGTTATCGTCTTCGTTCCCAAATGTATGCCAGTTTTAGCTAAATGTGTGAGGTAGGAGATTAGTTTTTTTTCCCCTCTTTTTTTTTATTTTTTATAAGTGTCTTGCTGCTGGAAAGTTAGACACATTTTTTGGCAAAAGGCATGCATATGTTTGTATAACTGCAATGAGAAAAGTTTTTAAAATTTTAAGTGTTATGGATTTTAAATAGCATGATATTTTTCATGTTGTGTATTTTGAAGGATTCTGTCTTTGTCTCTATATATATTGTGAATTTATTGGATCAGTTCAGGCAGAAGAAGTGGTTCATTAAAGGGATACTCCACCCCAAAATGAAAATTGTGTCATTAATCACTTACCCCCATGTCGTTCCAAACCCATAAAAAACAGCACATCAGTGCAGCGCTGCTGACACAGAAGAACGTACGCTGCTTGCATTCAGCGGATATTCTCCAAAATGGTGCTACGGTAACGCGGAGAGACACAGAGGAGACGAATTGTTGAATAAAGTCGTTATTTTTGTTTTCTTCACGTACAAAAAGTATTCTCGTCGCTTCATAACGTTACGTTTGAACCACTGATGGCAGATGGACTATTCTGACGATGTCTTTCATACTTTTCTGGACCTTGACAGTGTAAGTTACTTGGCAGTCAATGGGACAGTCACAAGCCTCCCGGTTTTCATCCAAAATATCTTAAATTGTGTCCCGAAGACGAACTAAGTTTTTACGGGTTTGGAACGACATGGGGGTAAGTGATTGATGACAAAATTTTCATTTTGGGGTGGAGTATCCCTTTAACTGATATTGTAACTTGAGCAGCCAAAAAGCAAGGCCTGTTTTTCTGCCTGTTTTTCATTGGATGAAGCCTATTGCACTTACTTTGTGACATCACTAGTGTGCAAATTCGTTTCTCAGTGTCGATTTCTTTTCTTACTGCTTTTAGGTGACTGGTTGTAAGCTGTACAAGAAACATTGGGCTGATGCAGCGTATTCATTATTATTCGTATTCAAGCACTGGAATTCCAATTTCTCAAAAATGAGATTTTAAGGGATTCAAGAAAGCCTTGGAAAGCATGACGTTTTGATTTTTGTGTGGTTTTATTACACAGTAAATAATTGTAAACCGAGCCCCTGAACCCTGAACTCAGATAATCACTTCTCATGGATTATTAATATTAGTATTATAACTATTATTATTGTTGTTGTTGTTGTTGTTACAACCTTTTACACCAGTAGGCCTACCTATTTTGGTCATCATCAACATCAGCAGCCCAGATCCCAAAATACTGCACTGTTTCGTTCTTCAGAGATCTCTCTGTTTTGAGAAGTAGTCAGTAAAACCTCTCTGAACTGAACCGAGTTTATTGAGAACACCCTGAACATGGGTTAACCTAAATCGCCTTTAACCCTAAAGTAGCTAATCCTGCGTTGTCTTGTTTCATGATGTTCATACTTTTTTTCCCTACATTGAATACACTGTAAAAAAAAATCCGTAAAATTTACGGTAAAAAACCAGCAGCTGTGGTTGCCGGAATTTTACTGTAAAAAATACGGTAGCAACGTTTTAGGCTTTACAGTTTTAACTTAAATTTACAGTTAAATACCGTAATTTCATTAACTGATATAATGTTAATATACCAACCTATTGAAGTACTGAAATCTGTTTGGTACCTTTGTAATACACTGATAACCACCAAATGCAGGTGGTGAGGCCCTACTGTCAGTTACCACAGAAAAGCATTACGACCCAGAGTTCGTTAGGACAAGCAAAACTGCAAAACACCGAATTTGATTACGGTAATGCACTTACAATGGCAGTCTACGTTTCTGGTTGAACATGGTGTTTAAACATGGATGCAACAGTTTACCTCCGTAATTTGAGTGAAACAGGAAATATTCAAATCCATTTTCCACTGTCAGTAGTGTAGTGATGTAGGCCACGTACCAAGTATTGCTCATACAGAAGTCACTTTATGTGAAGTTACAGATCATGCAGATTCCTACTGAAATTACTGGATTTGAAGGCATTCATAAAGGATTTTTTTCCCCCCCTTCAGAGAAACGCTGTTGAATTGTTCACAAGAAGACTAAGAATGTATATTTTAAAAAGTATTAAAGTATGTTTTGTTAAAGCCTTATGTGCAATTAATTGTGTATTTATCAGTACAATGCCTTGCCCTATAGATTCCTAATTGTCAATGCATTACTGTTAATTCTGTTTTTCAAAATCGTTTGAAATCGTTTTCTGTGATCCATACGTTGAGCCTCGGACATTCCTTTAACTGTTTGAAGTGAAGCAATGAAGCTGGAGAGCATTCTTCTGTGTGTCCATCTATACGTTCTTCACAGTGTTCTGCAACTCTGAAGTTGTTACTCAAGTCAGACATTGAAATGTGTTATTTGTCGGACTCCCTTTTTGTAATTTTTTAAGTTCACACCTGCTCTGTAGACTGCATATCACACTTGTTAATAGCGTGTGGTAAAGCACCCAAAAGGTCAGATGTTGTGTAGATGGATGTTTATGTGACAGAAGCCATCAGTGCTGTTTGACCCAGTTTCTCTCGACAGAAGCACAGCACTGCCACAGAAAATGGCAGTCTAATATCAAAACATCTAACAGCGAATGGTTAACTCAGAATGGTCATTTCCTTCATTGTTTTCATCAACTACACTGAAGCATATTCCTTGCTATGATGTTTAACTGTAAAAAAAAAAAA